TCCTGTTACCAGTTCCAGCAACCACTCGGTGCAGAGCCATGGAGGGCAGGGCTGATGAATCCTCAGTGGAAAGGCGGGGCTCTCCCTCCCCATCTTCACCTCCTGCTTCCAGAATCTCCTCTGGGAACCTTCCCACACTTGGCCCCAGCTGATGGGGATGGACGATTCTACCTGTGGGCTCAGCATTCAGGTGACACCGCAGTCCGCACGCACAACGAGCACACGGTGTTTGTGGCTGTCAAACCAGATGCTCACCCTCCCCTGCCTCTCCCACCTTTCCTCTGCCCCCACACTCACTAAGGGTAGGGTCTGGCTCTTCTCCTCCATTCTCCACAGTTATGACAGACTTGAGTTCAAATCGTAGTTCAGTCATTCCAGTCTTTCTCTTTTTATTTTCATGTTCTTGTTTGTAACAGGATCTCACTCTGTTGCCCAGGCTGGAGTGTGGTGGCACAATCATAGTTCATGGCAGTCTCAAACTCTGGGGCTCAAGCGATCCTCCCACCTTAACCTCCCGAGTAGCTGGTACTACAGGCATACACCACCATGCCCAGCTAAGTTTTTGGAGAGACGAGGTCTCCCTTTGTTGACCAGGCTGGTCTTGAACTCCCACTTCAGCCTCCCAAAGCACTGGGATCACTTGGTCCCATTTTAACCTTTCTGTACCTCAGTTTCCTCATCTGCAAAGTGGGGATAGTGCTAATATCCAGCTCACAGACAGCTGTAAGAATTAAACTGAAGAATACATGGAAACCTCTGGAGAGATCACCCATCAGAGTTAATTCCTCAGTCATGTCACTTTCAGTGCTACCTTGGGCCTCTTATCCTCCCTGGCTTCTGCCTACTTCCTTCTGCCCCTCGCTCCCACAGGACCCTGGGCAGGTCCTGAGGCTATTTCAGTCTGGGCTGCATCTGCCACAGTGAGCCTGGATTTAGGGAAAACCTTGAGGTGAAACTCAAGCAAGTGGGATGACAGCTGGGAATGAATTTTAGAAACTGTCAAGGGCCGCCCAACATGATTCCCTGCCAGGGTGGGAACTGGGAGGAAGATCCCACTCAGACTCTAAGACAGGGTCGTGGAGACACCAGCCTCCTCCAAAATCCAACTTCAAGAAAACAGGCTGTGCCCCACCGCCAGGCTGAGTGTGCTGCTGGGCGCAGAGGGTGTGGAGGGCGGCTGGGCTGCAGTCCTAGGCTTGGGGCTTGGCAAGGGCGGGGCGATCGCTCCAGGTTTTGGAATGAGCACAGGGACTTCCTTGAATGGTGCAACTGAAAATATTGCTCTGTGAAGGGGCAAGGCAGTGTCAGGCCTGGGGCTCCCTGCTCACCCAGGTCAGGCCCCAGCTCTGGTCAGCCCGACTGGGTTTACTGGGCTCACCCTGGGGTTTGAGGACGAGTTCTGGCCAAAGCTCATACATTGGCTCTCTGTGTGCCTGGAGTCAGGAGAATCTAATGGTTACAGCTCGAGTCACTGACCATTTGCTTCCCCTCCCTAAGCTTCACGTTTGCAACCTGTAAAATGGGCAGCCTGGCCTGGGAACATCCATTTCAGCAGATCCCCCAGGGAGGAGCCTGGCTCCAGCATACTGCTTAAGGCCACTGTGATTCCACGACCCCAGTCTCACGGCAGGGTGGCTTTTCCTTCCTTCCTTCAGCACTGGGGAGAGCATGAGTCAACTGTCCAGGGGGCGGACACACAGGGCCGAGCCCGTGTCACCCAGGCCTGCCTGCACCTTCCAGCCCTGGCCACCTCTGTGCCAGCCCCCCAACCCAGGCCAAGGCCTTCCTTACCACAGACCCTCCTGCCCGCAGACCAAAAACAGTCTCCAAAACAAATCCATGCTAATGAGCTGCTGCAGGGCCGGGCTGCACATCTGCTCAGCAGAAGTTCCACTGCAGACCTCACCAACAACCCTGCCCGCTCCGGCAGCCTCCGACCCTTGGGGTTGTGGGTCGGGGGAAGCAGCTAAACTCAGCCTGAAATTTCACTTTAAAATAATGAGGCCATATCGCTGGCCGATGCAGAACACCTACTCCCGTGTCCACCCCTCCAAAACACGGGCCCGGGAGAGAGGTCCAGTTTGCAGGGGTGGGTGGAGAGGGGTGAGGGTCACCGAGGAGACGCTGCAGCCTCGCCTTTTCTTTGGCCCCAACTCAAGGCAAACCACGCCCAAGCAGTCCCAGCATCTGGGGGAGTCTAGGGAGGCCCCATTCCGCAGTAACAAAGGGTAAGGGGCTCCTTGTTGACAAATTGCTTCCCGGCCAGCGCCCGGTCTTTGGCCTCCAGCCCTGACCTCTGTTTTCCTGGGGTGCCCCTAGTTACAGGCTGGTGGCGTCCAGCTAGGGGAGCCAGGGCCTCCGAAAGCCTGGAAGTATGGCCTTCTCCCTTGATGCCCGCCAACCCCCGGCCACGCCAAGGCGGGCGG